GGGGTGGGGGGTGGTGGCAGAGCAGGGGAGGGTGTTGTTTATATCGCCACAGGAGAGGGAGAGAGAGATCAGGCTTCAACCTGATGCACCAAGACATGAATAAAACATACCGACATGTACCAGGGAACCAATAGAGAGGTCTGTGGGGCCAACCCCAATCCCAACTATGTGGACAACCTCTGCACCCCCAGAAGAAGGCACTTCAGAGGACAGCACTGAAGCTACAGCTTGGGGAGAAGGACACTTCTGATTAGAGCACACAGGAGAAACGAAAAGAGATGTAGAGGGAGGGGAACACACCCTCGTCCACTACGCCCCGAGGATGATCTTCCTGTTCAGAGCAGACAATGCACGGAGAGGACAGGCCCCACCACGAGACATGACATCCCCCACTGATCCATAGTGCTACGGGGCAACACTGGAGACACAGTGTGGGAATTATGCCCAATCTGATCCCATCACACTGGGATGAAACACCAAGGGCATGCAACAGAGCAGCAGGGGGAGCAAAGTGATGAAATCCCCAGGGAATACCAAAAGTAGACTTCGGAGACAGAGTGTGGCACCCCATCAGACTCGACTGGAAAACATTAGAAAAGGCCAACAAACAGACCTTGAACTAGTTATAGGCTTTTCAATTTTTGTCATTGACTTTCTTTTTGTTGTTTTATTTTGGTTTTGTTGTTGTTGTTATTGTTTTGGTTTTGACTTCCTTTGTTGTTTTGTTTGACTTTGCCTGGTTTTTGTGCTTATTAATGTCTCTACATATCTATCTAGATAAAATAGGTGGGATAAACAATTCAGAGACAAAAAGAATGGGACCAATGGTTCCGGGGGATACGGGAGAAGGGGAGGTAGGAGAAAGGAAGGGGGTGGGTGGCAACCAACCAAGGGGCAAGGGAACGAGTGAATTAAAATCAATGGAAAGAAGGGTGTAGGATGCCTAGTTGGGCTTAATCAAGGGCAATGTAACAGTGAGGAATTAGTAAACCTGAATGAAGGCCGAACATGATGGTGGGACAGAGGAAAGTAAAAGGAAATAGAGGAATGAACCAGGAGGCAAAGGACATTTATAGAGGTCTAAATACAGGTATGCACATATGTAAATATACTTATATATAAAGAGAGGGGAATAGATCTATGTTCTTATATCTACATGTTAAGAATCAAGGTTGGAGATGGACATTGGGCCTGGACTGAAGTACTCTCTCACCATAAGAACACTTTGTTCTAATAATCCAGCATCCTGTGATGCTCACCTTCTCCACACAATTGCTGAAGACAAAATGGGTGCATAAGCAAATGTGATGAAGAAAGCTGATGGTGCCTGGCTACCAAAAGATATAGCATCTAGGGTCTTAAAGGCTTGAAGATAAAGAAGCAGCCATCTAGCTGAGAAGCAACAAAGCCCACATGGAAGAAGCACACCAGCCTGTGTGGCCATGAGATGTCGATGGGATCAGGTATCAGGCATCTTAGACCCAGAACAAAATCATACCCAATGTGAATTGGGGTGGGGAAATGAGGAGTGGAGACCCAAAGCCCATCTGTAGAAAATTGGACATCCCCTCACAAAAGGGTCACAAGGAAGAGATGAGCCAGTCAGGGTGCAGTGTAGCAGTGATGAAACATACAGCTTTCCTCTAGTTCTTCAATGCTTTCTTCCCCCCACTATCATGACCTCAATTATATCTTACAAATCAGATTAGACCAGAACATGCACACTACTACAGATAAGAGACCACAGCACAGGGAAATCCAGGATGGATAAACCCCTCAGGACCAACAATGAGAATAGAGATACCAGGAGGATAAGGGGAAGGTTGGGGGAGACAAGGGAAATTGATCACAAGGATCGACATATAACCTCCCCAACCCAGGAGACGAACAACAGAAAAGTGGGTGAAGGGTGACAGAGGATGATGTAAGATATGAAAATAATCATCTATAACTTATCAAGGGTTCATGAGGGAGGGCGGGTGGGGGAGGGAGGGGCACAAATGAGGAGTTGATATCAAGGGTTGAAGTAGAAAAAAATACTTTGAAAATGATGATGGCAGCATATGTACAAATGTGCTTGACACAATAGGTGAATGTATGGATTGTGATAAGAGATGTAAGAGCCCCCAGTAAAAGTATTTAATAGACAGTAATTAAAGAAAAGAAAAGAGTTCCAGTTCAATGTGGGTGGGGAACCTAGGCATGTGGAATCCCGGCGAGGAAGGTCGTGAGAAGCTGGAGTCGCAGGTACAAAGAACTTCAAAAACACTTGACAGAGAAACAAACCAATAAAAAAGCTGGCTTAGATCAGTACCCTGTTAAGAAAGAAGAAACCGAAAGTTGTAGCTAAAAGGAAGTTTCTTAGAAAGAGAGGTGAAAGGTGACTAATTGTCTGAGATACCAAAGAAAGACTATGCGTAAAAGAAGGGTAATTTTACTCTTTTAGACAGAAGGAAAAAGAATATGGTAAGCAAAAAGTCCTTTTGAATGGTGTAAGATAGCACATTGAATTTGACTGTAAACAAATGCACATGTTGTTTTGGGGTGTTGTCTGCATAATATGATGGTCTAATGGCAATTAGGAAGGTCTTGCAAATTACTTATATGAGAACTAACAAGAAGCAGACCAATGTGTAGAGGTGAGACTTTTATTAAAATCATATGTCTTTTCAGTTAAGGTTTACACAGCCGATTAGGTTATCATTTAACAATTGCAATACAAATTGTCCAGAAAGATGGGTTACCTTTTCCACAAAGTGTTAACAGTATCAATTTTCTTTTCACTTTCCAGATGTTTCTTTTCCAGTAAACTGGTTTCCTTGCTCCTTAAACGTTCCTCTTTGCTTTAGGGTGAATGTCGACGATTTGGTCTTGAAGAGATGATTTCTTAAAGTTGCACAGTACTCACTGTTAGTCTTTTATGAAGCAATCTATTATTTAGCTAAAAAGTGCCCCCAGTGAGTGCCTTTGGTTCAAGACCTATGAAAGGTTTCCCGGGCACTAGTCCAACACTGAAGAGTTCTTGAAGCACTTCCTGATGGGAATCAGACTACAGCCTCCGGTGTGGACTGTTTCAGTGTAAAGAAGGCAAAAATCCCAACAACCAGACCAGCAAGCAATATGGTGCTAAATGGGGGAAGGTTTGAACTTGTCAAGGATTGCATATTACTTGGATCTATGATCAACACCATTAGGAACAGCAGTCAAGAAATCAAATGATTAACTGTGTTTGGAAAATCTGCTGTGTAAGACGGCTTTAAAATGATTTAAAAAATAAAACAGAAAATAAGACTGCTTTAAATGTTAGAGATGTATATATATAAATATCTAAAACATTGAAGAGGATATATATATATAACATTTAAGAGGATATATATATAACATTTAAGAGGATATATATATATAACATTTAAGAGGATATATATATATATAACATTTAAGAGGATATATATATATAACATTTAAGAGGATATATATATATAACATTTAAGAGGA